CCAGCAGAAAACACAAGAAAATGTTAACAATGATCCATGCTGGGAGGCAGATTGTGGATATTGTACTGATTATTTGCATCTTTGGGGCTTTCTACATTTTCTACAATAAATGATTTTTACCTCGAAAGACCAAGATATATAAAATAAGAAGAGGAGGACTGGGGAGATATCTCGGTGGTCTAAGCATCTGCCTGGCAAGCACAGGGACCTGGGTTTGATCCCGGTACCACATGTCATGCCAGTCCAAGTGCCAGCCACTGAAACCCATAGTGGAGCATGCCTGTGATCCCAGCACTGGGGAGCCTGAGACAGGAGGATCATTAGAAGTCTGAGCTGTGTAAAGAGATCCTGTACCAAATAAATAAATAAAAGATTAGAAGTAAAAGAAAAAAAAAAAGAAGGAAAAGAAGGAGGAGGAGGAAGAGGAGCAGGGGAGGAGGAGGAAGAGGAGCAGGGGAGGAGGAAGAAGAGGAGGAGGAGGAGGGGAAGAGGAAGAGGAAGAGAAGGAGGAGGAGGAGGAAGAGGAGGAAGAGGAGGAAATGTTTTGCTAGCCTGTCTCTCCTATTAGACTGGGAGGTCCTCCAGGGCTGGGGAGCTTGAGGAATTGTGTCATGGTCTCTTTACTTTGTTGGCGTCCAGTACTCAGACACTGTCTATTGTCTGGTGAATATTTAAGTGAAAAACTAATATTCTTTTCTACTGCAAAAATAGTTTCATTTAATTCCAGTTTCATAGAAAACTAGGCTACATAGTTCCTAAAATATAATGAATTAGATAGGACAATTTCCAAGACTAGAGGACCTACTATAGCTCTCATTCAATGACAATGATTATTTTTATTAATTAGATCTTAATTTGACATTTATTCAGCACCTACTATGAATATAGGTTTCCTTTCTTTAAAGAGATTAAACATAAAATAGGTGTGGCGATGCTGTAGTCTCAGCCCTTGGGAAGGCTGAGGAAGAGGGATCACAAATTAGAGCCCAGTCTAGGCAATTTAGTGAGACCCTGTGTCAAAAACAAAAATTAAAAAGGACTGGGTTTCAATCTCTAGTACCACACACACAAAAAGAGTTTGAATATAATATTTATATCTTTTAAATTTTCTCAATTTAGCCTTCATAGTGAGCTACATTCCCAGCCCTTTAAAATTTTTTTTTTTTTAATTTTGACATAGACTCTACTAAGTCATTAAATTGCCCAGGCTAGGATCAAAATTGGGATCCTCTTGCTTCAGCCTTCCTGGTGCTGGGATCACAGGTGTGTTGCACTGTGCTTAGGATGTTAAGAAGTGTATGAAGGTAAGAGGAAACATGAAACATTTAAGTGGCATTTTACTAATCATATGACAGTATATTCCCAACACAGAAAGCTCCTTACTTTGAGACCCCCCTACAGCGGTCAGGTTTGATTGCTATCAACACTTTTCACCCAGAAAAATAACAAGTGAAGATAAATTCAGAATTCCATCTTAACTTCTTCCCCCATAGACTCCAAGGTCAAAGTTGTACAATTGTTTCTATGTGTTACCTAGGTTCGATTAATATTTGTCCAACTGATGAATAAAAAAGTCTTACTTCATTTATAAGACTGAGAAGCTTATGGTATAAGCAAAAAGCACAGTGATGCATTTGTTCACTTCCCAATTATCTTTGGTGCTAGGTACTGGGATACAATGGTTCACAAATGGTTATGGAACTTTCCAGTCCGGTGGGAAAGACAGACATTACTCAGATTACACATAAATTGTTGACAGAACTATAAATTTCCATGACTGATGCCTTTATTTGTTGTACACTTCTTAGGTCCTAGGCAGCTTTTCACACACAGGACCTCATTGGAAGTTGTATGGGGTTAAAGGTACATGTTTTGGTGTTGCATACATCTGAGCCCAAGCCTGCTTGAGCACTTACTCAGAAGGGCTCTTAGGCAAGATTCTGACCTTCAGTTTCATTATCTTTTAATGGGGAACAGTAAGACATTCATCACAGGGGTTATTATGAGAAAGCAATGCCATACTGCGTGTAACACACTTCAGCACAATGCCTGACTCATGGCTGGTAAGTGCCAGCTATTTTTTCTTTTGTTTTATTTATTTATTTATTTATTTATTTATTTATTTGTGTGTGTGTGTGTGTGTGTGTGTGTGTGGCCAGCTCAGCCCACCAGGGGGCGGGGCTGGCTGGCATGTGGTGCTGGGGGATTGAACCACGGTCCCTGTGCTTTGCTAAGCTTGTTCTAAGTAGGTGCTTTAGACCACTGAGCCATCTCACCAGCCCTTTTCTTTTGTTTTAAATACTACTCTTTTTTAAAACTTTATTTTAGCAGCCATTATTATTTATTTATTTATTTATTTAGTGGTGTTGGGGATTGAACTTGGGACCTTGCGCTTGCCAGGCAGGTGCTTATGCCACTGAGCTATCTCCCCAGCCTTAACAGCTATTACTATACTTTTTCCGCTACATCTTTCTTTCCCTTGTACTTCACTCTTCGCACAGAAGACAGATTTGAAATCAGATAAACTTGGTTCAAATCTCAGGTCCACCATGTATTAGGCGCAACATGAGTTAATATCAATTGCACAGCGCTCTCCACAGGTGTAAACAAGGAGACGTTTTCAGGGAGTCACACGAGGAACACATCTTTTGACTTTATCCTTTGTTGAGTTAATTATGGTCAGGGAAGTAGGGTCCATTTTATTAAGTCACAACTTTAGGCAGAAAGAAACTCCTTGAGTGCCTTCCTTAGGAGGGAGCATGAGAGGGGGTCACCAAGTCATCCTGGCCCGTCAAATACAGAGACCTCATGAGAAACAGAGGAAGATCACAGGAGGTGTTCAGGAACAAAAATGTCTTCTTATTCCTTTTAAATTTTTGTTTTATTTTGTGGTCCTGAGGATAGAACCCAGGCCTTGTACATGCTATGCAAATGCTCTACCACTGAGCTGCACCCCTTTTAGTCTGGTTTAGTTCTGGCCTGCAAATTAAATTGACACTGAGACAGAGTGACAGGAGAAAAGTACATGGATTTATTTAATACATGTTTCTTGTGGCTTGGGAGCCCACACAAGGAAATGAAGGTCCAAAGAACCAATTAGAATTACTTACACAGGGCTGGAGAGATGGCTCAGTGGTCTAAAGCACCTACTTGGAACAAGCTTGGCAAAGCACAGGGACCGCAGTTCAATCCCCCAGCCCCGCCCCCTGGTGGGCTGAGCTGGCCACACACACACACACACACACACACAATAAATAAATGTTAAAAAAAAATAAAATTAAAAAAAAAAGAATTACACAGCTGAATGGAGAAAGAGTAGCAAAGTTTGAAATATAATGCAGAGGCTTGGAGTCAGGTGGTGAATTGCATGAAGTCACTAAGAAGATAGTGCTTAGTAACAAACCTCGTGCAGCTCCAACTTCTGTCCTTGATAATAAGAATGTTACCTTCCTCTTTATACAAAGAGGATATTTTCCAAGTAGAAATTTCATTCCTGCTTTTTTTATTTTTTATTTTTTGCAGTACTGGGGATGGAACCCAGGGTCTTCCACTAAGTCACGTGCACACACACACACACACACACACACATCACCCACTTTTATATTTTGAGATAAGTTCTCACTTCGTTGCTATGTTGCTTAGGCTAGGCTTGAACTTGTTTTGGGGGACAAGGGAGTTTGAAACAAGGTCTGAATGTGCAGTTCAGACTCACCTTGAATTCACTATGTAGCCCTGGCCTCAAACTCTCAGTGATCCTCCTGCCTCAGTCTCTAAGACTGCTGGGAATTATAGGCATATACACATTCCTTCTCTAAAGAGACAGAATGAAGGTCAAAGAGAGCTTCTTGCACCTACTTTTTGAAGTGCCTTCAATTCAAAACAGTCAATATATGACAGCAGCATATGCCAGGTGGCTTATTCTTAACTTCAAAAGCAAGCAGTGCCCTGGGTTTATGAGAGAAGCTGGTTGAGTCATCAGACTGTAGTATTAGGAGTTGACAGAGCCAGCTCAGTGGTCTTACTGGATGTGTGTTGATGTGGGGCTTCTGGGGCTTAGTGCCAGACCCTGAGGATTGTGATTGAGAAATATCTGTTCAACACCAGGGAGGAGATGACAGCAACGCTACCCCAGGGCCTCTTCCATCTCAGCCTGCTCTGGGACTCCGGGACGATGGGGGCCCAGAAAGTAGGAGTCAGCAACTCTGAAGCAGGAAATCAGCAGAGGCCTGAATGTTTGGATGGAGTGCCTGGTCCCAGAGAGAATTGCTCTTTGTGTGCATGCCATCTATGCCAAAGCAGAACACATTTGTCAGCACTGCCTTGCAACTGCAAGAGAGAGTCTAACAATTTTAAACCAGGGCGGGGGGAGGTAGCTGGAAATTGATTGTTCATTATGATCATTACTAATTCAAGAAGCATAAAATATTATTGCTAATCTCTTTACTTGGTGGGCTGATTTTACTTTCCTAAAGATAAATATGCATGAGAGCTTAGTTCCCCTAAACACATTTTCCTTCTACTTTTTTTTTTTTCTTTTTTTTTTTTTGTCTTTTTGAGACAGGATCTCACTCTGCAATTTAGACCTTGACATCACTATGTACCCCAGGCTGGCTGCCCTTGAACTCATAGCAATCCTCCTGCCTCAGCCTCCCAAGTGCTGGGATTACAGGCATGTGTCCCCATGCCTAGCCTCTACCTACTTTTATGGGAATAAATGTTTCTTGGGTTTCCACTCTTTATTCCCATGATAGTCTTCAGGCTTTAACTGTCATGAAAAAGGGTTGGTAGGGTATAATATCCAAGTGTCTCAACTACATGGTAGTCACATACCTCCACATGGTAGAGCAGGAAAAGTGGGGCCCAGGGAGGACAGTGAGTGGGATTTTGGGAGCTTTGCAGTCATCCTGTCTTGTAAAGCTTGACTAGCACGGGCTATCACTGTTTTCAGGAAAACACAAATAATTTTTATATATTTTTTTTCCTCCCTCTTTGCTCTGTAGATGGATGGAAAAAACGATGGGTACAATCTAAACATCAGCCGGATTATGGGCAATTCCAGCTCAGTGCAGGAAAATTTTATGAACACATAGAGCGAGATAAAGGTAAATACTGCAGTTTAGGAAACTGCCCACTGATCGGGAGAAGTTCTAATTTTGGTACAATTGTTTTTATCCATAATCAACAATTTGTTTCTTGTACTTAAAACATTAATCAGTGGAAAAGAATGAAGTCACTGTATAATGTCCATTCGTTGAATAACAGCTATTTATTTTATTTTACATATTTAAGAGAAAGCCTCATTGTGCAGTTCAGGCTGGCCTCAAACTCACAGCAATCCTCCTGCCTCAGCCTTCTGAATGCTGGGATGTCAGGTGTACACCATCACACCTGGCTAAAACCATCTATTTAAATAAGCCCATGCACACATTATGCTCAGGCGTCTTCCTGACTAGTTCATGCAGTGATTACTATTATTTTCCCAGGTTTGCTAAGCAGCCCCAGAGAGGCTGAGTCCTTTGCCTGAGGACAAATGCTCAGCTGGCCAGAGGTGGAGCCAAGCTCTGCTTCTGCGTCTTCTGGGAGCAGGGGGGGTGGGGGATGGGGGGTGGGGGGGTGTTCATCACCAATGGGCTATGCTGATTTCTGCAATCGCCAAGGATTTTCTAATAGCGCTCTGCACTTGAAATGGGAGAAAGCACTGTGTAAGGCCCATGTGGTGCCTGGAGAGTGGAACAGTCAGCCCTAAGGTTAACTCCCAGGACCCATCCACTGCAGAAAAAGGGCAAGTCCTTTTACTTCTCAGAGCTTCAGATAGAGATAATAACCATCACTGCTGGCTCCTTGGGGATGGGGGGTGGGGCGAGCCAAACAACCTCGTGGAAGGAGGGCAAGCTCTGAGGACAAGGGCTGCCGCAGGGGGTTGGGGTCTGAGAAAGCCTCTGTCCTAGAAATAGAATCCATTGATTGGCCCCTGGAGCCATTTCCCATCCTCTCCTTCCTGGCTACTGTTATGAATCTCATTTTCATGTTTATTTGGGCGAGATTTAGGAACTGACTCCAGCATTTCAAATCTCATTTGAATCTACTCTGGAAAACTGTTTCCAAAGGAGGGCGCCTCCTCTGGTGAGGACGGTTCCCGTGGCTACTCCTCTCTTCTCTGGGTGCCTTCTTGATTGTCACCCCACACATTTCAAATATTCGGGTTCATTACATTCTCTCTGGCTCTGTAAGGCCCTGGGGGTATGAATGAAAGATGGGGCAGAGCAGGCCTCTGAATTTTGTGGCTCTCTTCCTCCAGAAGGTCCTCGCCTTCCTGCCAGCCAAGTCTTCCTTGGCTACTCCAGCCTGCCTACAGATCTCTGGGGAAACAAGCACTCATTAAAATGCAAACAGCTCCTAATACCATGGCCCACACGAAAGTGCTTACCACAAAGCTCAGGTGCAGGAAATGTTTAAGAGACCTTGGCTGGCTGGGCATGGTGGTGCCTGCCTGTAATCCCAGCACTTGGGAGACTGAGGTAGAAGTGCCAGGATTTTCAGCAACCTGAGCTACATTGAAAGAGAGAGAGAGAGAGACAGAGAGAGAGAGAGAGAGAGAGAGAGAGAGAGA